CTAATGTGCCTGGGAAAAGCAGCAGAGGATGGCCCAAGTGCTTGGGCCCCTGCACCCATGTAGGAGGCCTGGTTGAAGCTCTTGGCTTCTGGCTTCTGCCTGGCCCAGCCCTGACTGTTGCAGCCATTTGGGATCTTCCAGCAGATGAAAGGTCTCTCCCTCTCTCTCTCTATCTGCCTCTACCTCTTTCTGTATCTCTGCCTTTCAAATAAATCAATCAATCTTTTTTTAAAAGTTCATGGAAAATGGACTTAAACAGTGTTTATTTTGATGCAAAAAAATTAAATCCATGTATATAAGGGTTCTTCACAAATTTCATGAAAAATAAATATTTTGAAAAAACTAAATGAATTTCAATTTTTACACCAGAATAAACTTATCTTTTAATTTCCCTTATCTTTAATTCATGGACAAGTGGAATTTAAAGACCATATATATAAGTGATAAATCATTTTTCCCACCACTTTTCTGTGTCCAACTAACTGTGGAGTAATTGCTTATTCAGTGTGCCATAATGCCACTTTTATCTAAGACTCATGAGTTTACAATTTGTATTAAATTTGGAAATTTTTCACTCATTATTTTTTTAAACAGTATTTTCTGTTTCTCTTCATCTTTCCTTTCCTTTTGAGATTCAAATTTTATTCATACAAGTAGTACATGTAGTACATGTAAGGGTATGCAAAAAGTTTATAGAAAAGTGAGATTAGGTAAGGTTATTTTGATACAAACAAATTGGAAATCCACGCATACAAGGAGCATTCAGAAAGTTCATGGAAAATTAGTACTATGAACAAATTTACTTTTTCATTTCATTTTGGAGGTGCAGGTGTTTGGCACAGTGGTTAAGATGCTATTTAGGACACCCACAATCCATATCACAGTGTGTGGTTTGAGTCCCAGCTCTGCTTCTGATTCAGCTTCCTGCTAATGCAAAGCCTGGGAGGCAGCAGATGGATGCCTTCTTACATGGCTGCTACCAACATGGCAGAGCTAGCTTGAGTTTCTAACTGCTAGCTTCAGGCTGGTGCAGCTCTGGCTCTTGCTGGCATTTTGGGAGTGATGGATGGATGAGTGGAACATCTCTGTGTCTGTCTCTCTGCCTTTCAAATAAAATGCAAGTAATTTTATTTCGCTATGAACCTTTTCAAGTACTATGGCTATTAATGTTTCCCCACAGTTCTTAGATGCTCTGTTCACCTTTACTTTTTTATCTTTCTTTCCCCTCTGTTTTTTTTTTTTTTTTTTTTAAGATTTATTTGTTTGAAAGTCAGAGTTACACAGAGAGAGGAGAGGCAGAGAGAGAGAGAGAGGTCTTCCATCTGCTGGTTCTCTCCCCAGTTGGCCGCAATGGCCAGAGCTGCACTGATCCAAAGCCTGGAGCCAGGAACTTCTTCTGGGTCTCCCACATGGGTGTAGGGGCTCAAGGACTTGGGCCATCTTTTACTGCTTTCCCAGGCCATAGCAGAGAGCTAGATCAGAAGAGGAGCAGCCGGGACATGAACCGGCGCCCATATGGGATGCCAGCGCTTCAGGCCAGGGCGTTAACCTGCTGTGCCGAAGGGCTGGCCCATCCCCTCTGTGTTTATTCTGGTAACGTCTGTTGCTGTGTCTTCAGTTTATTCACCATATCTTCTGTCAGTGCCGTCTGCTGTTCATCCTATTTGGTGTAATTTTCATTTCAGAAATGACAGTTTTAATTTTTAGAAATTTGTTTTGGATCTTTTTTTTTTTTTTTTTTTGACAGGCAGAGTGGACAGCGAGAGAGAGAGAGACAGAGAGAAAGGTCTTCCTTTGCCGTTGGTTCACTCTCCAATGGCCGCCGCGGCCGGCGCGCTGCGGCCGGCGCACCGCGCTGATCCGATGGCAGGAGCCAGGAGCCAGGTGCTTTTCCTGGTCTCCCATGGGGTGCAGGGCCCAAGCACCTGGGCCATCCTCCACTGTACTCCCTGGCCACAGCAGAGAGCTGGCCTGGAAGAGGGGCAACCGGGACAGAATCCGGTGCCCCGACCGGGACTAGAACCCGGTGTGCCGGCGCCGCTAGGCGGAGGATTAGCCTAGTGAGCCGCGGCGCCGGCCTGTTTTGGATCTTTTTAATATCTCTCCTGAACATTCTTTCTTGTACTATGTTGAGCCTGTGAAGTGTATTCCTAACAGTTGTTTTAATGTGCTTGGGTAGCAATTCTGTTATTTTTGTCTATCTGAGTCTGCTACTGTTAACTGATTTTTCACCCTATAATGTATTGTATTTTTCTGCTTCTTTGCATAGCCTGGTAATTTTTGCCCGAATGCCAAACATTGTGAATCTGTGTTGCTGTGTGCTAGATTTTTAAAGGTCCGTAAATATTTTTGAATTCTACTCTAGGATGCAGTTATTTGGGGTGGGGTGGGGGAATCTGTCCTTTCAAGGCCTGATAGGGAACACCGGTGCAACCTTTCTTCAAGGGCGAGTGTGCTGCCACCACTAAGGCAATGTCCGTCCGAGTACTCAACCCGATTGCCTATATATTTTGAGATTTCTTTACTCTTGCTGTCAAACGTGAGCTGCTCCTTGTCCTCTGTAAGTACTGGGGATGTTTTCTGCCTGTTCTTTTCCAGGGGTTCTTTGATTGACATCAGAGAGTCTTCTCGCAGACCTGTGCTGATCACTCTGCTGAAGGCTTGATGGGAGCCCTCTGCAGCTCTCCTGGGATCTCTCTGTGGCTCTGACTCCCTGGTGCTCACTCTGTGAATGCAAGTCCCATTGGTGCTCCTGAATTCTCTCTCAACTCTGCCTCTTCAACTCAGGCAGGCTGCTGAGCGCCCCCTCCCTGCTCTGCAGCCTGCAGCAGTTGTTAAAGCTTTTTTTGTTTGTTTCTTTTCTCTCAGGGATTACTGAACTGAACTGCCTTGTGTCCAGTGTTTGAAAAACCATTGTTTTACAAATTTTGCTCAGTTTTTTAGTTATTTAAATGCAAGAGTAAATATAACCCATTACTTCCTTTACTCCCTTGTATCCCGAAGCACAAATGCCCCTGTAATTGTGTTTTTAATTACTCTCTGTCCAAATAATTTTTGAAAATGTTCTTTATTGTTTAATTTTCAAATATTAATAGAATTCTTTTTTTTAAAGATTTAATGATTTATTTGAAAGGCAGAGCTACAGAGAGAGAGGGGCAGAGGAAGAGAAGGGGGGAGAGAGAGAGAGATCTTCCATGTGCTGGTTCACCCCCCAGATGGCTGCTAGGACCATGGCTGAGCCAGGCCAAAGCCAGAAGCCAAGAGCTTCCCAAGCACTTGGGCCATCTTTGACTGCTTTTTCCCAGGCATATTAGCAGGGAGATGGATCAGAAGTGGAGCAGCCGGGACTCGAACCTGTGACCATAATGGGATGCTGGCACCACAGGCAGCTTAACCATAGCTTAACCCACATCACCAGCCCCTGGAGTTTTTAAAAGAACATTTGTGAGGTCAGCATTGCGGTACAGTGAGTGAAGCCTCCACCTGCAATTCTGGCATCCCATATGGGGGTAGGTTGGAGTCCCTGCTGCTCTACATCTGATCTGTCTCCCTGCTAATGTGCCTGAGAAAAAGCAACAAAAGATAGCCCAAATGCTTGGAGAGCTCCTGGCTCCTGGCTTTGGCCTAGCTTGGTCCTGGTCATAGCAGCCATCCGAGGGGTGAACCAGCACGTGGAAGATCTCTCTTTCTTTGTCTCTCTCCCCTTCTCAGTCTCTGCCTCTCTCTGTATAACTCTGCCTTTCAAATAAATCAGTAAATCTTTAAAAAAAGAAAAGAACTTTTGTTTATTGAAAAATTTAAAAATAGCTTCTAGTTTTATTATGCTGTGGTCAGAGGATACAGCTTGTACAATTTCTCCTTTTGAAATAAATAGATTTCCTTTATGACCTGATAAAGTCACATTTTATGGTTTCTTTGTGTGCATGTTATAAAGTGGTGTTTAGTGGGAATCATATATACAAATACTATGTAGTCAGTCTTGTCAGTTACAGATTTTAAATTCTTTGACTTTACTCTTTGCTTTTGAATTCAATGTAGAGTCATATAAAATCTCCCAATTTTATTTTTTATTTGTATTTATATTACTTGGATGAGGGGTGGTGCAGGCAGAGATATCTCCCATCTGCTGGATTCTAACCCAGATGTCCACAGCAACCTGGCTGGACCAGGCTGAAACCAGGAACTGAGAATTCAATCCTTTATCTTCCAATTTTAAAGTGACATTAAAAATTAACCTTATCATTATTCTTTTATTATTATTATTATTATTTGACAGGTAGAGTTATAGACAGTGAGAGAGAGAGAGAGAGAGACAGAGAGAAAGGTCTTCCTTCCGTCGGTTCACTCCCCAAATGGCAGCTACGGCCGGTGTTGTGCCAATCCAAAGCCAGGAGCCAAGTGCTTCCTCCTGGTCTCCCATGCAGGTCTAGGGCCCAAGCACTTGGGCCATCCTCCACTGCTCCCTTGGGCCACAGCAGAGAGCTGGACTAGTAGAGGAACAACCAGGACTAGAACCCTACACCCATATGGGATGCCGGCACCGCAGGCGGAGGATTAACCAAGTGAGCCATGGTGCTGGCCCTTACCTTATCATTATTCTAAGAACTACTTTCACAAATTCTGAATTTGTTCAATTTTACTAGAACTCTTTGAAAGCAATACAGGATATGAGGCACTTAATAATCCTTAGTGATTTGGGATAATTTCCACTTAACATTCAAAATAAAAAATAGAACTCCAGAAATTTTATAAAACTGCTGATTGAATGAATAATTAGCAGACTCATCTGTAGTCTTTTTTGATGACTGTTTCTTAGGTGTTAAGAAGCAACCAAATAGGCCGGCGCCATGGCTCAATAGGCTAATCCTCCGCCTTGCGGCGCCGGCACACCGGGTTCTAGTCCTGGTTGGGGTGCCAGATTCTTTCCCGGTTGCCCCTCTTCCAGGCCAGCTCTCTGCTATGGTCCGGGAGTGCAGTGGAGGATGGCCCAAGTGCTTGGGCCCTGCACCCCATGGGAGACCAGGATAAGTACCTGGCTCTTGCCTTCAGATCAGCGCAATGCGCCGGCCACAGCGGCCATTGGAGGATGAACCAACGACAAAAGGAAGACCTTTCTCTCTGTCTCTCTCTCTCTGTCCACTCTGCCTGTCAAAAAGAAAAAAAAAAAAGAAGCAACCAAATTATCATATAATATATTTAACTTTTAAAAGTCCACTTTAAATGAACCAGAGTCAGAAATATGTAAGGGCCAGTGGTGTGGCATAGCAGGTAAAGCTACTGCCTGTGACACCAGTATCCCATATGTGTTCTGATTTGAGTCCTGGCTGCTCCACTTCCAATACAGCTTCCTGCTGATGGCTTGGGAAAGCAGCAGAAGAGGGCCCAAGTGTTTAGGACCCTGCACCAAGGAAGCCAGGAGGAAGCTGGCTGCTGGCTCTGGCATGGCCCAGCCCTGGCCATTGCAGCTCTCTGAGGTGGTGAACCTGCAGATGGAAGATTCTCTCTCTCTCTCTCTCTTTTTCTCTCTGTACTTTTGATTTTCAAATAAATAAGTCTTTAAAATGATTTAAAAAAAATCAGTATTGTAAGGCCAAGTATTATTTGCGTAACTTGTTTTTCTTAAGGCATATTAAACGCACTTACAGACATTTACCTTTAACCTTTTAAAACTAACACTCTTAGAGATATTTTAATTCTGTTACCAGTAAGATTAATGTGTTACTTAGTAAATCTGATAACTACTCTGGCAGCTCTGTCATTGGGAGATCTATCAGAAGAGCCCAAGACTTACCTGGAAGCAGGTAGTGGGAGATGGAGAATCTGTGAGCTGTTGACCAGCGTTCCTTCTGAGGCAGCAAGTACTACAAGCTGGGTACATTGCCTCCTAATTCCACAGAATCCTACAAATGCCATTTAAGCTGTCAGCTACCACCCGATTCTTTTCCAGCTAATTCCTCATCCCTAGACCTTTCAGAGACCCATAATTTTAAGACATTTTACTCTATATTTGTATAATAATTTTAAAATATATTTATTGCAGCCTTCAGCCTTTGTAATTCTCGTTGGAGAGCTATTATGCGTCCTGAGGAGTAATGCTTAAGGGGGAAATGCTTTCTTTCCAAACAGAATTAAGTGCATCTGATTTGCACATGAATGATTTTTAGTGTCAATATTTTTCTGTTTTTTACTTTCCCTTTTATAACTGTAAATGTTGGTATGAGTTTTAAAATTCATTATTAAAAATACATTAAAATTTCATCGAAGTCTGCTTTAAAATTAAATTAGAAAAAATCTCAAATCATCTCTGCATTTTAAATCTCAAGGTTAAATTCATAGTTGCTGCATGTTAACTTGCTGCCTTTCTTGTTATAATGGGAAATAACATCTCCCCTGAGCCACTAACATTAGGTGAATGTTTTATCGTTACTGTCAGCAGGGCTTTTTAAAGGCGATGGTCAAGCCAGTTTAATCAGTTGACAAAATCCTAGGCATTAACAAGCATATGAAAGTAAGGAGGAAAAAATTTGTTAATCCCTAGACTTTGTTTTTTCTGTTGGCCCAAGAATTCATTTTGCTTCAGCTTAATTACTTTACATGCATTCTTGTGACGTTACACAATTGGAGAGGAAGAAAAAGGAGCCGTGACTGTGTGGTGTGTGTCTAAAAGCCTGTTAGAGAGGGAGAGGAGGACGCATAAGCAAGCTGGTTTGACCAGAAACAGAACTGCCTGTGACAGATTAAGAGACAAGCAAGGCTTGGAATCTGAGAGCAAGCAGAGTGGAAATTTACAGCTGCTCTATGTGAGTGTTCAAGTGATCATTTTCTACTAACCTTTTCCGGTGGTAACTGTTACTCTTCAAAGAGGGACAGAAAGTCAAGACGGAATTGTGGAAACTTCTCGGTCACACTTTGGTAATAGGAGGCAACCTCTGTTAAATGGAAGATAAAGGATCCTCGTCTGAAGCGCTTTGAGCTCCAGAAAGAGCTGTCTTCAGCACCTCACCATGTGTCTACTTTTTGTTGCTTAGACAATCCTGGGCGTTTTTCTAGCATTTGGTGAGTATCAGCCAGGCTATCTCTGTCAGTTCCTAGAAATGGAATTAATAGGGCAAACTTTAGTTTTAATTAAGCTTCTGCAGTTATTGTTTATAAATTCAGTTTAAACCCACAGTTGTTTCTTGTGCATGATGAACTGCTGTTACTAGGAGAGGTTTTTAAAACAACAACTGCAAAACAATACTTCTCTGTTGCCTAAGGCACTTGAACCATTACCAACTATTTTGTGTCCATGGAATATCTTATTTTGGATATGAGTTTTTATTTACAAAGAGTTTCCAAAAATAAATAGTTGCCAAAATAGTATACCATTTTTGTATGTTTTTATTTAAGCTGCATAAAAATTCAAAATTATCTCTTTCTGTCTGTTGTCATTAAATTTAAAATTACCTTTGGGATCTTTGGTATTCCAAATTATAGCATTCCCTCCTAATTGAAAAATTGTTGATACTGTTAATTAAAAGGGTATATAATTTAAATGTTGAGTGCTTTTATTAGATCTAGTAACACCTGATTTTTCTAAAATTCTTTAATGAAAATAAAAATTAGATAATTTTATAATTTCATATGAAATGAAGGCACATGGATTTCTAAGTTAAGGAACAAAGCAGTTATTTTGTTTGTACTGCTGATACCAAGATGTCATATAATCTTGCTTTGTTAGAGTACTACTATAACCAGATGTATGTGTGTGTGTGTGTGTGTATATATAAGTAATGGAGCAAAGAAAGAAAAAACAAACTCTTAAAATATCTAGTGATACTGCAATAAAATCTTCATTTGGATAATCTTAAAATAGGGGATTACATGCTAATTATATATCTACATATGTATCTTTTTAGCAGCATGGGTGGAAAGCATATAATCATTCTTCTGTAGGAGGAAGGAAGTATGTATATATTAATTGCTAAATTGAGTCATTGCCTAAAGATGCACCTTTCTAAGCCAAGTTTCTAATCTATCCTCTGTTAGTTATTGCTTCTGGTGAGTCCTTTAAGGCAGACCACTTAGCTGAAATGAAAACTTGTGCAGAGTATCAGCAAATACATTACAAATGGTTTGTACCCTACATATAGTGTAAAATGGCTGTACTTTCTCTAATTAATTTCCTCTATGTGTACAGAAGCCTGTTGAACAGGTTTTGTTTTGCGGTTTTTCTTTTTTAGCCTGTTAACCTGTGCTTAAGAGGCAACTCAGCTGCTCTGTAGAAACCTTTTCTGGACCAGTATCTTGCACTTAAAGTCAAAAGTAAACATAAGAGAGGTGATATCACAAACCACCTTTTTCTTTACAGAATTTCCCACGCTCAGTCCTCGTTAGACTGATGGGCAGTTTGCATGTAGCTTCACAGTCTTCAGAATATTTTTTTAAATCATAAACTAGTCATTCACTGGTGTTCCCTAGTGATGGCACCATGTCTTAAGTCTAAGGAATGTAAATATATAAATGAGGAATAAGTCATCCCCAATTTACAGTGCTTTGTATTTCAGAAGTTTATTTATGAGTTAGTTGCTGGGAATTTTCAACCCAATTTAGCAAGTGGCTATTGCACTTTTATTATAGCCAAGAATGTATTTCACACCATAGAAAACCTGTGGCCACCCTGACAAATAGAAAATCAGCCTAGTGATAAAAGGAAATACAAAGCATATATGTTAAATAAGATATTTTTATTTATGTTAAATATTAAATCTGGAAAAAAAAAACAAATTCAATAAGGGGTAGATAGATCTTTGAGAGGATGCTTATCAGTAGGATTTCTAGGTACTTTCATGAGCTTCCAAATTTGAGTGCACTGTTTATGCGAGCTGATCTGATCGTGATTGGAATCCGTGATTTCTCTTTTCCCAGTTACAGGAATATTTCTGGTCATTGCTTTTGTGTTTATCTGCCATTCCTGAGATCTATCCCAGTATGACACATAGTAAGTACCTGGTGATAGTCAGCGACTTGAGGACCAAACTGATTCTTGAGTTCACAAAATTGAAACTGAGTTATTTTCCCAAAGTATCCAGGAAAGTAAAGGTGTTTGGGGGCACACCTTTGTCATGAGAATTGTGAGCAGTGAACAAAGCAAAAGTAAGGCAGAATAGGCCAAACTCTTCGGAGAAAGAGAAAAAAGCAGAGTGTAACTTGGTGGCAGTGCTGAGTGGGCAGGGATGTGATGGAGGGGAGTGGTTGATGAGCTGGTTATCTTGAGTACATGGGACATTCTGAAGTCAAGTGTCAACTTTAACTCATGTTTACTAGGACCCAGATGAAGAAATGTGGCCTCTTTGAAAAACTCAGGTTAGAACTCTCCAAGTTAAATTTGGTTATACTGACCCTCAAAATTTCTCTAAGATATCATTATATAAAATGTAAAAAAATAGTAGTGAATAAATTTATGTAATGAAGTAAGTAATTTAATAAATCCAGGTTACATTTAGATCATTTTTAGTGGCAACAAAAAAGCTTTTCCACTTGATCAAGAAACTCTTTCTAGAAATTTCAAGTTACATAAAAAGAGAAATGACTTTGAGTAATCTTAAGTGACGTACACTACGTTCTTAATGGATATTTGTTGAATAAATTAAGGCAAGTTTGGACTGTTTTCCATTGGTACATGTGCATGTGCATATGTATTTATATAATGGCTTAAAGATAATATTTAGCTGATTATTTCCTTAACAAAGAAGAATCTCTTAAAATTATACTGGCAAACATGTTATTATGATTATGCTTAGTATACTATTTTTTTAAAGGTCTCTTATATCTTATTCTGACTGCCAGCAGTGGACAGTGAGAGAGACAGAGAGAAAGGTCTTCCTTTGCCATTGGTTCACCCTCCAATGGCCGCCGTGGCCAGCGTGCTGCAGCCGGCGCACCGCGCTGATCCAAAGGCAGGAACCAGGTGCTTCTCCTGGTCTCCCATGAGGTGCAGGGCCCAAGCACTTGGGCCATCCTCCACGGCACTCCCGGGCCATAGCAGAGAGCTGGCTTGGAAGAGGGGCAAATGGGACAGAATCCGGCGCCCCGACTGGGATTAGAACCTGGTGTGCCGGCGCCGCAGGCGCAGGATTAGCCTATTGAGCCGCAGCGCTGGCTTAAAAGTTTGTTTTATTTATTTGAAAGGCAGAGTTACAAAGAGAGATATATAAAGAGAGAATCTTCCATCCGCTGGTTCAATCTCCAAATGACTGCGATGGCCAGAGCTGGGCCTATCTGAAGCCAGGAGCCAGGAGCTTCTTCTCAGTCTCCCATGTGGGTGCAGGAACCCAAGGTCTTGGGCCATTCTCAGCTGCTTTCCCAGGTGCATTAGCAGGTAGTTGGATCAGAAGTGGAGTGGCCAGGACTCCAACCGGCACCCATTTGGGATGCTGGCACTGCAGGAGGCAGCTTTATCTGCTACACCACAGTGCTGGCCCCCTTAGTATGCTATTGGAAATGAAAAAAAAAATGGATTTACACTGAAATCCTTACTATTTCTAAATGAGATGATATACTTTTTCAGTTTTGTGACTTACATGTCTTAGATTTCCTGTAGAAATTTATCTAATCTCTTCCAACTCTGGAAGGATGAAAGATTATATTAAATTTCCCAACTTGAAAAATTTTGGAATCAACTCTAGGTATCTGCAGGAGAAAATGTAATTTCAACTATATCACTTTTTCCTTCCAGTTTTTTAGTATATGTGCTGCTGAAGCGAGCACTCAACTATATCACATTTATTTCTGCTTCCTGTGTTAAGGTTTTCATAGGCTAATGGTTTCTAGATAGGCACAGGGGCTTACTGAAGCTATTCAACGGTTATGTTTCACAGTGTACCCATATACCTTGTCGATTACAGTATCTAACCAAAATTTGCTGTTATATGTATGTAGTATGTTTGTGCTTATAGGAAAGACTGAAAAACAATGAATTAGGAGTTTCCCTTGATAATTCTGCTATATAGAATAATCATTGTGAATTTTATTGAGATCTAGTGCTTTGATTGTAGTTACTAGTTTCTGAAAATACTATAAATTCAGATTGTGAAATTCTAATGTAAAATTGGGACTTATTTATAACCATTGCTAGTTAATAAGCATAGGAAATTTTAGCTGCCACAAATGACTGCATCTCCCCATAGAAACATTGCCGTGAACCTAATGAGTGAAGTTATTAGTTTTTTCTGGAACGGCAGTCTAATAGGGCCTTAGGTCACAATAAATCTATGAGGAGCTGTATACCTTCCTAACTTTGCATGTTAATTGTATTTTAAAATTTATTTCAGTTTTACAGGGCATTAGAATTAACAAGTCAGTAACAAGAGATGTCACTTTCTAATTTTCTCTTATAAAAGGGTTTTTTTTTTCCTGATGTAAATCTGATCCGGGCTTCCAGGGGGGCAAAGATGCATATAAAACTTCTTACAAGTTTCCACTTCCATGTCTGTTGTGCGTTTTTAGAAAATGTCTCTCCCTCAGACTCCATTAGTAAAACTTAAAAAAACAAGGTCTGTCTTAGTTATTTTTAGCTGAGAAAAAGGACTATCAGTAAAAACCATTATTCATACTTTTTTGTCTATTGATTTTCACTCATGTCTGTAGATTTGAAAACACAAAGTTCAGACTTGATGCTTTCTAGTTGCATTTAGGATATATATTTAAAAATGAAAAACTGAAAAGGTAGAGGGTACTGATTGGAAGATACTTTGACCTAGGACTTGATATGGTAACATGTAACGATAATGATGTGCTTTGTCATTTTTTGTCTCTGTGAAGGCAGTTCTAAAAATTATGATGGTTTTTGGGAAGAAGAGGGAACCTTCTTGGATATAGCAAATACAGAAGATTTTTCAAGTATACTTTGTAATTTTACAGTTTGCATACAGTCAGATGCACTCCTTTTAAGATAATAATTCAGTTAGTGTTAACAGATGTGTTTGCTCCTGTAACCTCCATTCCATTAAGAGTGAATTTTATAGGCTCAGTTATTTTCTATAGATACACTTCTGATTGCACTTATTTCTGAGTCC